AGTGGGACGCTCGTTCGGGCGATCGCCCCAGCCTTCCAAGGGCGGAGCGGGGGAGGCCCCCCCGAGGTCGGAGCAAGTAGGGTGGGGGGGGAGAGTGGGGGTTGCGACGCTGTGGTCCTTCGGGGGCTCTCCAGAGGCCCTTCGGGGGCCTTCGGGGGGGCCCTTCTAGGAGGCCTTCTGGGGTCCTCCAGAGGCCTTCTGAACCTCTCGGGCGCTCTCCGGAGGCTCTCGGAGGCTCTCAGGGGCTTTCGGGGCCCCCTTCTGGGGCCCTTCTGGGGCCTACAGGCTGCCTCTGGGGGGCTTCCTCATGTCTTTGGAGCCTTCGGAGACGTCTGGGGGACTTCGGAAGCTTTCGGAGGCTCGCCGAGGCCTTCGGGAGTCTTCGGGGGTCTTCGGATGCTTTCGGAACTCTCGACCTCACTTTTCGGTGGCGCGTTTCGGCCAGGTCGATGTGTGAAGGCCGCAGGGGCCGAGTTAGCGCCCGAAAGGTCCGTCGGTCCGACGGATCATCGCCGCCGTTGTCGTCGTCGCCCTCGCCGTTGCCGCCGTCGCTCTCGCCACCTGCGGCGGCGGCGACGACGGCGACGACAATGGCAAGGACGGCTGCGGCGGTGGCGAGGGCAGCAGCGGCGACGACGGTGCTCTGGAGGCCTCAGGCGATTTCTGGAAGCCCACACTACAGGGGTCCAAACGCCCCCCCCACACACGCGACCCTCAACCCCCGCTGGTCGCGGGTCGCCGCCGTCGCCGTCGCCGTCGCCGCCTCGGGCGACCCTGGGCGCCGCCGTCGCCGTCGGAGCAAGCTCCGCTCAGCACGGCCTCCCCCCCAGAACCCCTCCCGTGGTCTATCCTGGCCAGCCTTCGGAGCCGCGTCCAGCCGTGGCGACGGGAACCTCTGGAGACGCCGCAAAGCTTCGAAACGGCGACGTCGTCTCCGCCCGTCGCCGTCGCCCGCGCCGCGGGCGTCGCCGTCGCCACCGACATGGGCGACGTCGCCGTGGGTGTGGGCGTGGGCGTGGGCATAGGCGTGGGCGTGGGTGTAAGCGTGTACGTGTGTCGTCGTCGTCGTCGTCGTCGCCGCCGCCGCCGCCGCCGCCGCCGCCGCCGCCGCCGCCGCCGCCGCCGCCGTGTTCTTGGGAGTGGGCGTCGTCGTCGAGGAGCGCCCGCGGGCGGGAGGTGGCCAGCGACCCCTTCGACTGCGAGGCCGGGTACTCCAACTGGGAGGCGGCCACGCTGCGCTCGGCCGGCTGACGGCGTTGGGCGGCGGTGCCGGCGACGGCGGCGAGCACGGCGGCGATGGCGGCTTATCTCGATCTCGATCGCTGAACGTCCACCCGAAACGGGTCGGCCCGGTTGATTGCCAGTCTTTTAAGCCATAGCGGAGGCAAGCTCCGCTCGGCTTATGATGCTCCAACCTACTTTAGCCTCGTTCGCCAGGAAGAATTTCGAGCGCCCCAAAAAAGTACCGAAACTCCAGGGTTTTCACGCGTCGGGCCCTGGGAGACACTCGCCTGACACTGTTTCGACGCTGTCTCGACACTCTTTTGACACTTTTCCGGGTGCTGGAAATTGTTTCTGGGATGCGGTCCTTAAATAGGATGGGAACAACATAACGCTCGACGACATGTACATACGTCACAATCCCTCTTTTGAGGCAACTGGAGCACGTGGGCTCTCATGGTTGGGAGGTGTCGAGCCCCAGGCCGACTTTGCTTTCCCACGCAGTCTAGCAAGGGTGACACGGCCCTTTTTCTGAGTGTGTTCGCAAGGCAAATCAGCAGGGGATAACGAAAAAAGCTCAACGCAAGCTTCGGGGCGTTGGGTTTGCGCTTCAGGTATTGCGAAGGCCTTGCGGCTGGTGCCGTCGATCCTACAGGGGGACGACGACGGCGACGGCGAAACATAATCCCAAACCGAAGGCAAATCATTGAATTTGCCCGATTGGGCTTCTCTCGGTAGTGTTCTTGGGGCTCCCTTGGGCAACTTGGAGGCCTCTCGGCGGCTTCTTGGGCGCCTCTTGGGACCTCTTGGGGCGCAAGGGCCGAAATGCCGGTTGGGGGCACCCCTCTCGGGAACCTCTTGGCTCTTGGGGCTTTTTCTGGGCCGTCGTGGGGCCGTCATGGGGCCGTCATGGGGCGTCATGGGGCCGTCTTGGGGCTGGGGCTCTCTCGGCAGCCTCCTGGGCCCCCGGTGCTCCCTGCCCGCTTGTCGGCAGTCCGCCTACCACTCCTCTGCTTGTCCGGCTGTCTGGGTTTGGGGGAGGGAGGAGGGAGGAGGGAGGAGGGAGGAGGGAGGAGGGAGGAGTGAGGAGGGAGGAGGGAGGAGGGAGGAGGCGCGCGGGCCACTTGCTGCAGACACTGGTGCGGCATCGGGGGAAGAAGCGCGGTGACCACGACCAAGATGTCGCGGGATCTTGTCCGCGCCGATCCTGGTCCTGGCCCATGTCGGCCGTCGCCGATCGTTCCCCCTCGCCCCCGCAGACCTGCCGCTGGTACGACAATCAGGAGGAGAAAACACACAGACACAATTCATCGTCGATTCCCCAGAAGGTATGGGAAAATCCGTAAGGGCTTCGCCCCCTGCCGCCGGCCCCCTCTCTCGGAGAATGGGCCATGGATGAGCTAAGTCATGAGGCCTTGGCGCTGTCGTGAAGCAGTATCGAAACTTCATGCGAAGCCGATTCGCAATCAGCAAAACCAACTGATCACAAGAGGGGTTACCACACCTGGCGATTGGTAAGACGTGTATGGTTTACGGGCTTGGTTACCACACCTTGCGATTAAAGGGCCGAGGGAGTTCTCGCAGTTTGGGTTACCACGCCTTGCGATGGATGTGCGTGAAGGGTGGCACCGAATTTCAGAAATGTGCAAATCCCAGTGTTTTTGGACCCTGACCCGCGGATCTGCGTAAGGGGTGGCGCCGAATTTCAGAAATGTGGCAAATCCCTGTGTTTTTGGACCCTGACCCCGCGGATCTGCGTGAGGGGTGGCACCGAATTTCAGAAATGTGGCAAATCCCCTGTGTTTTTGGACCCTGACCCCGCGGATCTGCGTGAGGGGTGGCACCGAATTTCAGAAATGTGGCAAATCCCCTGTGTTTTTGGACCCTGACCCCGCGGATCTGCGTGAGGGGTGGCACCGAATTTCAGAAATGTGGCAAATCCCCTGTGTTTTTGGACCCTGACCCCGCGGATCTGCGTGAGGGGTGGCACCGAATTTCAGAAATGTGGCAAATCCCTGTGTTTTTGGACCCTGACCCCGCGGATCTGCGTGAGGGGTGGCACCGAATTTCAGAAATGTGGCAAATCCCTGTGTTTTTGGACCCTGACCCCGCGGATCTGCGTGAGGGGTGTCGATTTCGAGCCCCCCCAGCAATTCAGACAACGCGCCCAGGAGACGCGAAAAATCTTGTTTGGGCCTCTCCTCCCCTCGCGCGGTCAATCAACTAGTTACAGTAACCAGCAAGAAGCAGAACTGTAACACTGGAAACTACAACCTACGACTGGTACAGGAAACTGCGAATCACGGTCCTACAGCCTGGTGGCCCCACAAGGGGGCCGGCGGATTTGGGAAGTGGGGGGGAAGACAAGAGCCCAGAAAATATGAGGACATTTGGGGAATCCTGTTATTTGTGTCTATTTATTTGTGTGTCCCAGGGCCCCTTCAAGGACGGAAGGTGCCTGGACACGGGTTCACCTCTGGCAAGTGCAGGGTCGTGGAACCATGCGAATTACCACCAGATGGCGGTGCACCTCCGCCAACAGCACAGCCGGCACCAGCACCTCCGTATCAGAGTGCCGGCAGCGGTGGAATGTCACCGCGAGCGGCATCGGGCCAACACGAACAGCCAATCACGAGCACCACGCCCGGCCGCACAGTCGGATTCAAGCGACACTGCGAGACGCACGCGTGGCGACTCGCCAGACTCTGAACGAGACGAACAAGCCATGGGCCGACGCGGTAGAGGTCAGGGCGTCACGCCATCACCTGAGGATCCAAGGTGTCGGGGCACCTGCTGGGCCACCACGACTCCGAGACTGGATTGGATTCGATGTCGAATTCAGCCTACGTAGCCTTAAAGGTCATGACCCAGCAATTGTCGGATGTGAGCTGCGGGAACTACACCTCGGATGGAATCGCGCCAAAGAGCTTAAGATGCGGCTAATTCTCCCGAAGCTGGGCCTCGATTCTGTCCCTCTGGGCATGATCAAGGAGGCCAGCGACACCTGTAGGGAATGCCGTGCCCACTTCAACGAGGATGTGGAGTGTGATCCGATTTTCTACAGTATATGTATCGTCTTTCATATTTGTGACCGCTGCATAAGACGGAGTTGGGGACAGGAAATTCCTGACCGTACTATGCACGCCATTCTAGATGCCTATCACTATTGCTGGGGTATCTACGAGAATTGCAAAATCCTATGCTCCGTTGGAGGGGGCGCCTTGCAGTCAACCCGCGTAGTAAGGCTGAACAACTTTCCAAGGATACCCTTGCATCCTTGCCCCGTCGGCTCGTCCTCAGCGACTTTCGCTGGCCAGCCCCATCCGGAAAACATCAACATGGTTTTCCAAGGCCCTTGCATGCTTACCGCACATCCTTACAATTGCGTTGACTGTAAACAACGACGCGGCGAAAACTATTTGAAAGGACGCAGGCGCCGAACGTCGGATACGAGGTCCAAGTTAACGTGCGACCACCATCGAGGCTATGACTGACATCTCACGCGGCGCGACGCACATTATGGACAACTATTGGAAGAACACGGGTCGACCGATAGAATTCAAGGTGGCTTTTTGCTGAGGCCTTATTCGTGCGCAGTGCTTTTACATGCCGCGACGGGGTATCAGCCTACGACGCATTACTTGCGCGTCGACTGGCATGCCAGCCTGACCTGAACCTACCAGATCACGAGTCGCCGACGGAAGCGTCCGACCATAACAGGGAAACAACAGGTACGTCAGGTAAGCATTGAAGCCATAACGCAGGCAAATGCAGCGGCGAAAGCCAATCGGGCCCTGAAGACAACCACCAAGCAGGCTGGACAGCTCTGCTATCAACTAGGATTCTTAGTTGACAACCGGCGACCTACAGCGAACAAGGACGATAGGGGAGGATGGAACGTACCATTTCCAGTAGTGCGCAACGTACCTGGTCGTGGACATGTTATCTTGCAGTCGGGTTCTAGGTGCACCATTCTCCAATATACAGTCGTCAGCCACGCGCTTTATATCGAAGCTTGAATGCTACGTGAAGTTGGATCTGGCAGCGCTGCCATGCGTACAGTGGTTACCTTCATGACCTCGCTGCAGGGCGTCCTGGTATCACGTTCGGGTATACCCCTGACTCGCGAGAAAACTTGCGCATGACGATTGGCAGCATTATGCACCTTAATCTGCATCTAGCAGCACAGTATATCATTCGCTGTGGTATCGCACTTGAGGACAGGGCACCTCGCCAAGAGCGAACGCAAGATGCCGCGCTTCTCGCGTGCAGACAGCGCGCTCATACACTACAATCGTGATGTGAACCCTAGATGCCATTTTTGCGAAGCAAGCGGGACCGCCATGAGCGTCAGGGACATCACGGGTGGTGCTCGATCCATGATAATCCAGCGCCTCAAATTCTCCCAGCTTCTGGCTGGATTCGATGAGGACCTCCCCGCTGTCAGGAACTCGCAGGTGGCTGTTCGGGCAGCAACCAAGGAAGGCGACCGCAAGAACATGTTGCCGAAAAGCCACCGGTTGGACCTGATAGGGGCCGGCTCTCAACGATCCAGGACGAAACGGAAGAGGGCGCGGGTGTGCGCATTATGGAGGAGTGGTTTGCTGAGGTCAAGGAGGAGAAGGAGCTACAACATGAAACCTTCTTGTAGTCCTATATGGCCCTGGTCTTTATGCCGTGCCGATGCAGATGGTGCCAAACGAACGCGTGCTAGTCTCTGCGATGTGCGACGGGCAGGGGAACTTCCCTGCTGGGCCTGGAAAGAGGCCAGACTACGATGTAGACTCATACGCTATGCCACTACATCTGTGTGAGTACGACCATAGGTATGCGCTAAATGCAGATTGTCGTGGGAAATGCGTTGAACTAATCATTGCAGCAGACGTGGCAGAAGTCGGTTGGGCCACGCGGTTGCGGCCCCATGCGTGCGTGCGTCGCCGCGGCGTCCAAACGCGCATTGGTCGTGCAGGGGGGTGGGCTTTTGACGGGGCGAGATTCAAGAACAT